GCAAAAGCGGGCACCAGCCCAGTAGTCAACATTACATGAATAAGGGCACGCAGGCCCAACAAAGAAAACAAGAAAGTTACAAAACATCGGCGCGCAGGCCAGGAAACTACGAGCACCCAGGCCCGGGAAACCTATACATCCTCGCCCTCCTGCTCAGCATCCACGGGGTCAGCGTCAGGGACGACAAGCTCGGGGTCGACCAACTTCCCGTCAACGATCTCATGATACGGCCCAATCCCGTCCACGACCAGAGCAGCGCCGGGGTTGACAATTTGGATCTGCGCAACAGCGCTCTTGAACCCGACCTCGACAGCGTCCAGGCAATCGCTCTCTAGCACCCGAATCTGGGAGACCAAATCAGAACGCGTAATCATCTGCCAATCTTCCTCAGTCTCGTCCTCAGCCGGACGAAGAGCGTTGTCCAGAACTTCCAGGCGAACTGTCAGCGCCTGCACATCGGCCGCCGCCGCCCCCAGGTTCTCCTCTACCGACGTCACCTTCTCCTCAGCACCTTCCGCCTGTTTGCGCTGGTCGGCAGCATCTTTCCGACTCTTCTCCAGCTCCTCAGTGAGTTTGTCCAGGCGCGACTGCATGAAGGTGAGGTCCCCCCGCAATTTGGCCAGCTCAGCAGTAGAGCAACCCTCCTCGTTCAGGACCAGAGTCGTGGTAAAAGTCCGCATCATCGCGGCCAAATCCTCCGCCAAGATGCGTCGGCGAGACTTTCGATCAGCATCACGGACAGCCTTCACTTTGCCAGCAAAGACAGTAGGAGACCGGGCCCCGTGAAAATAACCCGGGTGTTGATGGCACGGCGGGACGACGTAGCCCTCCTCGGATGAACCAGTCGTCAGATCAATCAGGCCACTGGGCTCCTCGGACCTTGGCCTCTTCGCAGCTCCCTGAGACGAAGGAGACTGGCTCTCCTGGGGAGAAGAAGATGAATTCTGGCCGCCTTGGGACACGGCTTCCTGCCCGACCAATTGGCCCACTCGCGTCTTCGGGACCGCGGCAGCCCTCGAGGCACGTAGCTTCTTCACCCGCTATTCGACGGAAGTCATGTTCGCTGCAAAAAACAAAAAGAGTCAGCAACGTACAAAACATACGATCACGAGAAAGACGAAACATCCCTACCTAGGTAATCCAGAGCATCCGCCCCCGAGGCGCAACCGAGCAGGGTCATCGTATTAATCAGCCTTTTCTTCGTTCGCACGTTCCCCTACGCGTCAAGGATATACCAACCCTCAGGCGTCACCAATTTCGACGGAGGAAGGTCCCGCACAAACGCCATTATTTTCATATAAGCGGCCATGTCTCTCTCGTCGAGAGTCCCAGCCCGCACTATATACCGGTCGGTACCGCGGTTGAAATACTCCGGGGTCCACAGTAAATGCACCTTGGGGAGCCACGCGACGAACCGTTGGTCGTCTACTACTCGCTCCCCCTCAGTAAAAAGAGAGTTTGATCCTTCCCGGGTGATCGGCCGCACGAGGAAGAACCGACCCTTGAAGTCTCGGACAGAGTCGTTGTACGTCTTAAAGAGCTTGGTCGGCTGCTTAAACGAGACTCAACCCTGACGGCCATTCACCGATTGACGTTGCAGGTGGAAGATGCGAAAAAACAAGGGCACCGTGGCCTCGACCTCGAGAAAGCGGAACACCACCTCGAACGCACGGATAAAGGCCAGGGCGTTGGGATGCAGCTGAGACGGGGCCAAACGTAACCAGTCAAAAAGACCCAAGTGGAAGGCGGAGAACGGCAGTCTAAGCCGGGCCTCTTTAAAGTAGAATTCGTGCATAGGAAACATCCTCCGCCCATAGCTCGAGCAGATGCGATGATGCTCCTTGGGACGATACACCTGTCAGTGTTGCGGCTCCCCCTCCACCCGATCCTCCACGGTAGGGATGCATCGAGCGCGAAGCAAGAAGGGGTGGACAGGAGCTCTTCGGCCACCCACTCCTCGACGGGGAGGACCCGCTCGTCAAAATCTGGGATCTCGGGATCACTGTCTTCGACCATCGTCCTCGGTATCAAGGCCGACATGTACACCTGAAAACCAGAGGATAACGGTGAATTCGATAGCCATGATCAAATCCACCCTTCCACCGCAGGTCAAGTGAAAGGGCGACGACGGCGGGCGAGCAAGCAAAAGACGAGCACGCGGGCAGCCCCCGAGGGACACTCTCAGCCGCTTCTCCACAGGGCATTCAAATCTAACATATCGCCCCTCCCCGGGGAACTCACCGGAGAAGGCACCCGTCCCCGGAGCATTCATCGTAACAACCGACCCTCCCCGGGGCATTCATCTAAACAAACCTAAAAAACCACTAGACACGGCGGAAACTCGCGTCTCTCCTCGGGGCATTCATCGCGCCCCGACCACGGACCCAAATCAAACGGCGGAAATAAAAGAAGAGAAGAAGGAAACTCACTTTGTGATGGCGAAGAACGGGGTGCAAAACTAACGGCGTGGCGGCGATTCACAGCAACGGCGGACGGGGAGGAATCACAGAACTTCGCAGATGAGAAAGCAAGGTGAAAAGTAAAAATGCTCGGGGACCCCCATATTTATAACCCGGCGCAGAACTCGAAGCAACACAAGGCCTTTGAGTACCCTAGGGTAGCCGCCTTCGCGCCCACTCAGCGTGTGACACGTGGCGGTAACTTGACGGTCGCGTCCCTTCAGATGCCTTTGCCCCGCTCACCCGGCGACAAGAAGACCTTCGCGCACGCACGCGTCCCGCCGGACACAAAACCGGCGAGCCACCCGCCTCGCTACCTTTCTCCCGAAGCAGCGACCTTAAGTCCTCGCTCTTTCACCACAGAGCTTCGACTTGGGGGGATCCTGTTCTGGCGTGGGCCCAGCCTCGCGACCCAACCCAATAACGCACAAGGCCCAATAAGTGAGGTAGCTTGACCGGGCACACCCCCCCCCCCCACCGGACGGGCAGGATACGCTCCCTGTCAAGCAGAACGACGCGCTTCTAAGCGTCCTCGGCGCTCCCCCCAGCCGGACAGAACAGCCTCCGCGGGCGGTATTCCCCATGCCACCGAGCAAGACCCCGTGGCTCTCCCACGTCCACGTGTGCTCCCCTCCTCGGGGAGAACAACACGTCTCCGGTGAACCTCGTGAGCTCCCCTCCGCAGGAAGAATAACGTGCCCTGTGCGCGTTCTCCACATGCTCCCCTCCGCGGGGACACGTCATCCACCAACTGCCCACCTCCGAAAGAGCAAGTCAAACCCACTTTCCGGAGATCATGGGGCAGTTAAACTAGGGCGAATACCACGTCCTGGTCTTCACTACGCCACGTAAGCCCTAGCAGTCACCTGGGTTGGACCTAGCAGTCAAGCCCAACACAAGTGACCGTTGGCCCAGCGCTGGGGTCTCTCTATAAATACCATCTTGCTCAAGAGGGTCAGGAAAATTCATTTCTTATCCATTTTCGGTACTTTGCTCTCACTCTGCCCAACTCCTTACTTTGGCATCGGAGTGTTTTGCAGGTACACCCTCATTTCTCCTCCTCATCACCGGTGAACAGGTAGCAGTCCAACAGCGTGTGGCCAGCCCGTGATCCCCTTCTGATCAGGTCAGATCATAATATAAAAAATTATCTTATTTTTATGTATTCTATTTTATTTTAAATTTTTAGTCATAAAATTTCACATAAAACATTTGATTTTAAATTTAATTTCAACAAAATTTCAATATAAATATTAGTTAAAATTTATTTTAGTAACTACCTATTTAAAAGCAATTAATATTTTATTCACATAACCAATATCTATTCTATTAAAATCAATTTTATTAAAATTAATTACTGTTTTAAAAAATCAATTTGTCAGAAGTAGAACTAAAATACACTTAATTTTACCTATTATAGAAAATTATATATACATTGGAGATCAAATAAAACATAATATACAATTTAATTAATTATCATGTTTTTCAAAAAAGGGAGTTATTAATACCATAACAAAAATAACTTACCATATTGTAAATAAATAAACAAAAGTCAGATTTTATTGTACCTTAAAATAAAATATTAGATAGAAGATTCTATTAACAATTATTTTATTAATATTTTTTAAGAATAAATCGTCAATAAATAAATGTTTAATAAAAATTTATGCAAAGGATAGTGACTATCATCACAAGAAAATAGGAGCATTTGAAATATTTTTAAACGAATAAAAAATTTGTAGCTACTTATAGCGGTTTACAAATGGACGTATCACGAACTGATCATGCAGAATTGAAAGCTAATCTTATCTAGCTAGGTAAAAACAGAATGTAAATTTAAATTTCATGTCATGAACAACTTCATGAAATCGATATTTTAGATTCCAAATTTATTCTTGAATCAATGGACATTAATAAGCTCATGAGAATTGAACAAATTAACCATTTTTTTCACATAAATTCTCCATTTGAAATGATTCTTTCTAAAACATGTTGAACATTAAATATGAATATCTTTCCTAGCCATGATTCAAACTTTAACCATGCATGTTATGATACTTTAACCTCTTTTATTAGAAAACATTTAAATTTTTAATCCATGTGAAATTACAACATTTTAAATTTAGTCTCTACAAAAATGTTATTCAATTTAATCCCCAATTTTATTAATTTCTACACATAAAAACAGTACTTTTGGTCCAAACATTTAGTCCTACAAATGCGAAATAATGACTAAAGTTGAATAAAATTTTTAGGGGACTAAATTAAAAGACCGCAAGTATGTAGGGATTAAAAATTTTAATTAAAAAATAAATAAATTTAAGAGACATCGAATTCAAAAGAGTATAGAAAATTCTTGAGAGCACTTGGAAGAGATAGTAAGAATCTCTTCAAACTCAATGGATTTTAATTTTTCAGAAATGAAATCAAAATGTCAGAAACCAAGTGATTTACAAATGATATTTACGGTATACTCCTCTATTCTGCCAAGAGCATAAAATTGAAGCCCTAGGATATTTCAGCACAAACAAGGGAATTAAATTAATCACTTTTGGATTCAGATTTTACCCAGAAACTTCTGGCTTCCTCGTCAGTAACATCACTGTATAGTAAAACCAAATAACAATGAACAATCATATGTTATGATATGGTAAAGAGAAAAATCAAAACTAGAATGAATTGATTCATAAGAAAGTGTTCATGAAGAAACCTGTCTATAGCTTCTGTTTTGGGAATCAACGTGAGTCTCTTAGTAGCAAGATATTCACAGAAACTTTGAAGCTTTTTCTCTTGGCAGAAATTGCAAAGATGTTTAAGGAAATTGTTGAATTGGTTTGGTTCCTTCACAAAATAAGTTTGTCAACTCAACATGTTACCATGAATCTTAAATACAAACAAGAAGCATAGGACAATTTAACAAACAAATACAAATAGGGATAAGATAACAGACAGAAGCAGTGTTGTCAGTCGCGTATTGCAGAAAATAGTAGTTATTCAAATTCCGCTGTGCTACATTGCTATAGCGCCGTTATTTAACAACACTTTTTACTAAATTGTGTATCATATAAGATTAACAATTTGTTCAAATTCTGCTACGTCATAACAGTGTAATGTAGCACCACCGCTATCTGACAACATTGATTAGAAGTTATAGGTAACAGGGAAGTCCTAAATGTTGTTTTTTAGTATGCAAGAGGAAGGAAGATGGATTACCTGCTCAAGGATGCAACCCTTACGAAGTGCAACTAAACACTCAACTGCTTTGGCATAATTATCACCTTCATGGGAATCCTCTACCATATCAAATATTTTATTTTTCATATCGTTGATAGCTTTTAGAACCCAATCTGGACTGTCTCGGCGTGAAATCATGGCTTCAAAATCTTGGACCGGAGTTGAATCCCCAATTTTCTCGACTTTAATAGGCGTATATTCTATGAGATTGGCAGGCGGGGCTGTAATGTTTTCTTTACCTTCATCATTTGTCTTTTCTCGCAATAAACGCCTTCGCTTTTTCTGCATTAAGATATTTTGAATGTAAAACCCATCTAAAGTTAGTAATGATTACTATTCTAGAAGCTAAGCTGAGAACTCATTCTTACCAAGGGATTTCCCTGCTGCTCAAAAGACCTACGAAATGAGTCAATGACAGATTGGTTTTGCAAAACAAGATCGGTCTCGGGTTCTGTAATTTTTCGGAGTGTGTAATCAAGAGGAGGTACTGCAGCATCTGGATGCTTTGATTTCAGATCAAGATAATGATAAAAGCGCTGAAAAGATATATGAATATACCGGTTAGCTTTAGCTTATCGCTATTTTCAATTTCTGGGAGCTAGTTAGAAAGGATTAAGGCATATTAAGCATAATTTCTCCAAACCTATGTCAGAAACCAAACCTTTAACCCTTCTAAGAGAAAAATCTGAAGGAAAATGAAACATGGAAATACATAAATAGATAGAATATTTACCGCCAGTACTGGATTGGGTGTAAAGTCAGGTAGCAAAACTTCCTTCTCCCCATCTGGTGCAAGATCAAGCATTTTAATGAAGTTAGCTGCTGATTCTAGTTGTTGTTTGTTTGGTTGACACGATACTGGAAAGTTAGTGAAGGAAGAAAATTGAAACTCTCGCACATCCTCGGCAAAAGGAAGAACGTTGAAGTAAAATGAATCAGGCTGCACAACATAATCAGAGAAACAAGAAACTATTTAATAAAAAATGACGTTGCGGAATTAAACAGTGAAAGTAAACTATAAGTAACACAAGAAACTGAGACAAAAAAAGAACCTACAATATTTTCTCTATCAGATACATTGGGTGACAAAACCCCAATGACAACATTTGCTTGTCCCTGTCTCCAAACGCACCGTAAAATTGCCACCTTATTCATTTCCTTCATAGCCCTTGCTAGAGCAGAAACTGCAAGGCCAGCTTTTGTATTTCCAGTTTCCGCTATGAACACATAGGCCTCTTTCATGTATTGGTGTCTTCAATGGAGATTTTAAAACAAAAAGATAAGTGAAACAATGAGTTAGAAAATCTCCTTTGGGTTTTATGAAAATTGAATCAAATATATTTTATTTAAGCATATGCAATCTTACCTCAATACATTAGAAGAATCAGTAAATCCCAAAAGCTTCACGCCCTTTTCCGGTTTGAACTTTACAGCATCCCACTCAGCAGTGGATATAGGAACAATTTGAGGCCCATATCGATAACCTTTAATTCTTTGGTCCGGAGGAATAACTTTATCTGGATCATCAGAACTCTTATACTCATAATCTATTTTGACTTCATGTGTTGCGAATTTATCAGATTGAGGAGCCTTATCAGAGTATTTCTTCAGAGTAGGAAATTTCTCTTCTTGTGTTTTCTTGTATACCATTACCTGAGTATCAGAAACATCGCTTTATTTAACATGCAAATAAAAAATATGATGTTAAACACTAAGATGAAGTTTAAACAACACTGAATATGCCGGCATATGTGTTCATTGTGCTTTAAATTATTCAATATAGAGGTTCATATTGTTTATGGACAACTCAAACTTGGAGCATTTGAAAATCATGAACAGAAAAAACATGCAAACTAAAAGATGATTTATGATATATGATAGATTGTCAGAAAATAAAAAATAATGACACTTAAATAAGACATTCATCATGGACCTAGAGATTAAATCTACAGACATTGCAAATCTCACCTTAATCCTCAGTTTTTGGCTGAATTCAAGATCCCCTCTGAAAACAGTAACTGGAGTTATATTTCGAGTTTTAAGAGCACCAAACAAAGAAATTGGATCCTCCACATACAACAATCTTGTCGATGTTTCCTTAGAAAAAATATTCAAAAGACGGTCATTCTCATCCATTATCTCCTTGTTTGCATCTTGACTAAGCTTTCCTCTCATAATTATACTTTCCATTCTCATACCATGAGCTGTCATCTGTTTAGCAATCGTGGTAACTTGCTCTTCTTTTGATCCTTCATAAGGATCTTTTATTGGACATTGTGCATTTGTAATAAGGCAAATACGTTTCTTTCCCTTGATAGTGTCTCCAAACTTTTTTATTAACATATCCATGGCAACAATGACAGCATCAAGAACTAAAATCAAAGTCAAGGTAACCAGAAAGGAGTAAAACAAAGCTAATCATGTTAATTTGCATGAGCAAAGGATTAACTTCTTGGAAAAACAATTAATTAATAATTTAAAACATCACTTAAAATTTAGAGTTTAATGTGTTTTTAGTCCCTAGAACATTCACAATTTTCAAGTTTAGTCCCAACATATATTTTGTCCAACTAGTTCCAATTTAACTTTTACAAGACTAAAATTGGACGAAATTTATTTAGGGCTTAAACATTAAAACATGAAATGAATGACAGTGAGAATACACAGTTGGAATCGGAATCAGAAATCTATAAAACCTTATAATCCAAGAGAAAAGAATTTGTCAAAAGAGATACTTTTAGTGACATATGGTCTGGTTATTTTCCATAGGCTAGTAGCGTGGCTATTTTGAAGTAGGTCAAAATTCAAAAGCTTTATTTTTTCATTGAATAAGATACACAATATGAAAGGGTGTGTATAACTTTGTGGATACAATCACCGCCATTTGTTCCTCGAGGAAGTTGTTGTAAAGCCTCAACAATGTCTCCATCCACAACTTTAGTATTTCTCAAAACCACAACATGCTGATATCCACCCACTTCTGTAGTTAGTTCGTTATCCGTGTCTGAAAAAGTAGTCACAAACATGGGTAAGAGATGCCTTTGATTGATCAAACTCCAAAAACAACAAAACTACAAAAACTACACAAGTCTTTTCCTAATAGGTGGGGTCAACTGCAATGATCAAAAGGAGTCATAATATCCTATCATATATCATGTCTAAAGATAAACCATTTAAATCTAAATTTTTTTCAATGGTTAGAAACAATATTTTTTTACTCGGTTTCCCTCTTGTTACTAGAGAATCATCCGTCAAATCTACTTTTGTTATTGAGGCTTCTACTTCTACATGACATCTGTACACATGCCCAAAATACATGCTACCTCAACATTTTCTTGAATATATTCACTTTTTAACTCTATCTTGTTTTGTAGATCAACTCACCTATCTTGATATTCTCATCTCTACAAAGTTGAACTTTTTTTCTTGTTGGCCTGGTACGACCCAACACATAGTCCTATACAATGTTACAACTTAAAAGTCATGTAATAAAATTTTCCTGAGTTTTGAGAAATGGTTACAGTAGAAAAAGTAAATTAAAATGGAAAATCTTGATTAATAGAAACCGGATCAAATTTCTAAGTAGGAAAAACAAATCTAATAACACTGACTCCTAATCATGTAATGAGATGTATGGCAGAATAAGAAAAGGCCAATGGTAAAGAATCAAAGATTCCCCAAAATTTTCAAGAAACCTAGACTCTCCCCAAAACAGTCCCGATTCATCGATACCCCCTCTCATTTCCCTCCAACCATTATATTTTCCTCTCTTCCAACTAACCTAACTAGTTAACTGTAGTTAATTATTCTATGTAGAATTTAAGTGTGTGGCCTAGCTTATAAGCACTACTTAGTTCATATCTCTATTTAGTCAATGTGGGACTTCAACATGATGCTCAAGACAAACATCTGAAGAATGGACTAATGAATGTGAAATAACAATAATCTAAAGTGGATTAACAAAGATCATGGCTTTATAAGAAATGTAGGTCAGGCACCGATACAAATACCATCTTAAAATTTGAGCTTAGGATCTAACTCAACCTCACAATACCGACTTGTAAGATGAACACCGTCGAGCCTTTATAAGAACTACTTAGGCCATATCTTGAGCTGCTGTGGAACTCTACGACTAAGATGTAAACACAGTGGGTTCCATAGCACCATTCTATCCTAGTTTCACTTGCACCACACATGGGGAGCATGTTGTCAAAAAATCCAACAGTTAGTTACCATCATTTTGTTAGTATCCCATGGTAGTAAGAAAGAGTGAGATATTACATCGTATGTAATAGGGTTTAGGGCTTAAGAGAAGAAAGCATCTTGTCGCTTGATTTAAGAATTGCGATTTCAGGCTATAGAATTGAAAAAATTATCCCATTGCAATCCACCTTGACCCCTATTTTATAAAAACCAAACATTTTATTATAACTGTCTATCATTCTAATACAGTACCAGGCTTCTAAAACCAATGTATTCGACATGGAACAAGAATGAAAAACACCAAATAAGCATCAACCAAGTCAACAAAAATGCATTGCATATATGCACCATAGACACCAAAAACATTACACTGACACGTCGATATTAGTAATAATTTTTATATAAAAAAAATGAATAAATTAAACATAATCACAAGTGTCGGTCTCAGTTTCAGTCACCAACACAGACACAACTCTTTTCAGAGGTGTCCGTGCTAAAGAGTGCATCATCATAAAGATTAGAGTAAATACCTTCAGTTCCAAATAAGACAATTCCCACTTCATCATACTTGTTATAGATCAACTGCATATTATTATACAAACAAAAAAAAGGATCATGCTAGCTCTTAGTAACCAAAAACTAAACACAAGAATGGAACAATAACAGTTCTACAGAAACTTAGGGATTATGAATACCTTCTTCTGTACAAGCATGGAACAGACTTTCTCGACTTCAGGAAGAACGGCATGCATGGATGGTCCCACATCAAGCAGCAAAAGCAAAGCTTCCTGCATTAATTTCACATTTAACCGTTCAAAAAGGGGAAAATGGGAAAAATAGAAGTAAAACCCTAAACCTAGAAGAATGGAGTAATGGTGTCGGAAAAAAAAAAGAGAAATGGAACCTTGTTTCTAGCCATGGACGGTGGAAGAAGAGAGTGTGTAAGGTTAAGCTTGCAGAAGAAGAAGATGGATTATCGCAATCTTTTTCCCGCTTCAAAAAGTTTTGTTGAGTACCTAAAGTCAAATTCGTTTCTACTGAATTTCAGAGTGTTGTGTTGGTTTTGTAGGGTCTGGATTCTCTGATGTATGCGTGGGAAAGTTGAATCGACTTTTATTCGTTTTCTACCGTTTGATAAATCGGACCACTAAAATGTTTATACGTAGCCAAATTTTATCAATAAAAAAAATAAAAATAACTTTTAAAAAATTGTTGAGATCTATGATATAAGAAAATAAGATATTTATAAAAAATTCATTCTACTTCTTTTGTATCCCATATAAACCAAAACAATGCTGTCTTACCACTTTTTTTTATTTTTATTGTAATACAATTAACTATTTATTTGATAATCTATTAGTATAGTTATTTTATCTTTACATAGTAGAATATTTTCCTCTTTAACGATACAGTATTCAAAAAAATTCATTTTTTTAATTAAACATATCGCATCACTTTACCTTTACATTGTTGTCTATTGCATGTTTCTTCACATTTCTCTTTATATTGCAAATGCATCATATCTCTCTTCTCATGTATTTCTTCCTTCTTCTAACATTTTTTTATCTCTTCTTTCTTCTATAGGGACAGCCTCAACTCTGCTTTCAATCACATTTTTTATTGTCCTTCTCAAACTTTTCTTCAACATGGCAAGACCTTTTGAGATGATCAAGGACATTAATGATCGTAAAGAATTTTGTAAGATTGTTGTCAATGTCCACCACAAATGGAAGGTTACTTCTAATACAAATGAGCATTGTGTGCTTATTGTTATAGACAAATATATGAGTTTTGTTTTACCTTTCGATGTTTATTTCGTTTTTATGGTTGTATTTCTTTCTTTTTATCTATTTATATTTCATTACTTTTTGGGGTTGTGTTTGTTTCGTATTATCTGGTTTACTGGTTTTTTCTATTTTTTGTCAGAAAGTCGTGGGTTTTAATGGCTTTTGCCCTCGATTCTATTTTGTTGTAGTTTTTTACTGGTTTGTGTTTTTCATGATAGATGTTTGTTTCGTTTATTTTTATATTACAGCTGATGTCAAGTTTATGATTCAAATTTTGTATGGTTTATGGTTTAACATCGAGGTTATTAATGATTTGTGTTACATATGTCGATGGGTATACATTATTTGATGTTTCCTTTATATCTTTACATTTATTTTGCTTTATATCTCTATATACTATATGTGAGGTTGCATCGGGTCATTTTTGGTTTAGATTTTGGCATCAACTAATGTTTGGGGTTTAACATTTATGGGGTACTGATATTTATGTGATTGTTCTGACAATGTTTAAGCAGGCATTTGATTCAGTTTTATTGGTTAACAGAACTTGCATCATTGCAAACTTCCAAGTTCAACTGAATGACTTAATGTTCAAAGCGTCTGACCACAAATATTTGTTGAAATTCACTAGTGGGACAATAGTAGGAGACAACAACAAACATGAAACCTCTGACAAAGTTATTAAGTTCACCTCTTTTGCTAATATAATTTTAGGAAAATGGAAGAAAATTTTCTTTATCGGTATATTTTTATGTCTCATTCGTTCTGATTCATGAATCATTTTGGCATACACATTATAATCATTGTTCTAAATATAAATACAAATGCAATGTGGATGGTTGGCGAAATAGGATACGCACAATCTCAATCAGGCAGTAAAATAACTGCATTTTAACTTGGTCTTTAAAGATTTTAGGTATGTTAGTAACAACTCAACATTACTTTTGGTTATTTTTCTTACTTCTGTTTCATTTACTGTACTTTTTATCTCTGTTTCACGACACGTAACAACAACATCTTCAACTTTGCCATATAGGAGGTGTACGCTTTGTAATTCTTCACTTGCAAACAAAAACAGACAGATGCACCATTGCCAACTATTATTGTACTGCATTACACCAAGGTCAAGGAAAAAGGTTGTTATATATGTGATGATGGAATATATAACACCCCGAAATTTGATTAATTTATTTAATAAAATTATTCGTGCTTTATTTAATTATTTAGCATGTGTTGCGCTTATAATTAAATATATTGTAAGTTGTACATGTATGTAGTGTATGGTGGGGTGTAGTGAGAATTTTTGTGGGTGGATAAACTAATTAAAATAATTAGAATTAATAATTATTCTTAATTAATTAATTCATTAAAATACAAAGAAATAAAGGTTTGGGTGGAAAATAGGATTTGATGAGAAATAAGAGAAGAGATGAGAAGTATGAGAAGAGTTGGGTCTTAGTATAATTAACAAAAGATTAAATTAGGTTTTAGAGACAAATAGGGATTAGTAGAGCTTTTAAAGAGTTAGTACGTGAAATAGAAGTTTTGGGAGAAAAGGATGTTAGGGCTTGAAGAGGGAAGAACAAACTATCAACCTAATTCGAAATTTTGGCTAGGAATTTGAGGTAAGGGGTGAGAAAGGGCTTCCATATAGGTGTTTGACATAAAAGGTGATCGTACTTGATCAAAAGAGATTGTTGACAGGCCACGCGTCGTCGACTGCAAGATGTTCAACGGAGGTAAAGAGGAGGAGGGGGTGTACCTGCAAGACACTCTGATGCTTAAGTGAGTAAAGGACCAGAGTGAGAGTAAATACATAAGTTAGGTGTAGATAACGAAATACCTGACCCTCTAGTGAAAGAGGGTATTTATAGTGAGACCCTAGCACGGGGCCAACGGTCACTTGTGTTAGGCTGGATTGTCAGGCCCAACCCAAGTGATTGTTAGGGCTTACGTGGCGTAGTGAAGACCAGCACGTGGTCTTCGCCCTAGTTCAACTCTCTCGTGATCTCCAAAAGGTGGGTTGACCAACTCTTTCAGAGGTGGATAGTTGTCTGATGACGTGTCCCCGCGAGGGGAGCACGTAGAAGACGTATTATTCTGCCTGACGGGAAGGACGACAGTCCGATGTAACTAGACTCGTGCCCGACACTGGGGATTTGGATCTTGTTGGGCCTTCCCCAAAGAGTTGGATTGGGCCTGCCTGACGGGTGGGCAGGTCTGGGCCCACTCTAGAACAAGAGCCCCCCAAGTCATAGCTCTGATGCGAAGGAGCGATGACTTGACGGTAGCCGTGTCGGGGACGACGAAGGGCGAGGATGAAGCTCGCTGGACTGTCGTGTCGAGGACACTAGGAGGCGAGGATCTTGAGCTTGTTGGGCTATCAGGTTAAAGAGATGGAAGATTGTCGTATGCTCGCTTGTCCGTGCTCAAAGGGGGAACGGAGGGACGTGACCGTTCGCGGTGACCACGTATTTGACACCCATCGTTCCACTTAGGGCGGCTAACCTAGGACACTCGAGTGCATAGGGGTGCTTCGAGTCCCGTGTTGTGTTTATAAATAGGCAGGTGCCTGCCCTTTTACCATTTTTCGCTCTCACCTCCTATCACACGTGATATCTGGATCTCTCATATACGCACTGTCACACAGTACCGCCACTGTATCGTCTGTCACATATTCCGCCGTCTATACTATATCCAGTAAGTTTTCTACTTATTATATTCCATTTTCTTAATTTCGGCATCCTCTGTTGTGGACATGATGAATGTTTCGAGGAGAATGTGGGTTCCCCGACGAATACGGCGGGATCCTTTTGACCAGTGACGAAGTCCCTGAGTTCATCTGAGGCATTAGGATGAATGCCCTGGGGACAGACGATAGGGTATGGGTGAACTCCTTGGGGACGTAGTATAGGGTTAGATGAATACCCCGGGGATGTACAATAGGGTTAGATGAACGCCCCGGAGACGTAGGATAGGGTTAGATGGACGTCCCGGGGAGGAACGCTAGGTAGAGATGGACATCGCGGGGTTGTGAGGTGTCGCCGGATGAATACTCCGGGGACGTTTTCTGTTGGCGCATGGTCGTGTTGTCGTCAAGGAGAAGCATGGTTCGTAGTCATCGTCCTCATCGCCTTTTCACTTGATTTGTGGTGGAAGGGTGAATTTGATCTTGAAACGTCGAATTCACCATTTCCTTCTGCTTTTCAGGTTAACATGGCCTCATGGGCAACAGGAATCATGGAGTTTGATGTGGAGCCAGAGTCCCCGGTGGCCCCGCTTGTCGAGGGCAGGCCCGAACTGTCGAGGACTGGGTCGCAAAGGAAACTTTAAACATGTAATCCTGTTTCGTCGAGAACGATGTCGACACCTTTGCAACTATCGAGGACCACTGTAAGGGCTCTTTTGTGAGCTGGCAAGCGTACCGGCCATGGTACCATCACCATATATGCTCGAGCTACGGGAAGATGAGGTTTCCCATGTACAAGTTTTGCTTCCGCGAGGCGGGTCTTCGGCTGCCCTTCACTGATTTCCAATTGGGTGTCTTCGATTGGTTGAAGTTGGCACCTTCTCAGCTGCACCCCAACGTTATAACCTTCATTCGGGAATGTGAGCTCGTCTGTCGGTATTTGAAGATCTGGTGCATCCTTACTCTGTTCTTTCATCTTTTCCACCTGCAGAGCCAGACGGTAGATGGCCGACAAGGATGGGTGTCGTTGAAGAAGTCGAGGAAGCTTTTCCGGGCGTACATGGACTCTGTCCGGGATTTCAAAGAGCGATTTTTTATGGTCCATCCTGTTTCTCTCAAGGCGTGCGCCTCGTTGTACCGACATGAAACCCGGGTGGTGAACGGGAAGAGGGAGGAAGTCATGATATCAAAGGTGCCCCTGGATTGGTCGGAGGAACACTTCAGGAGGGGCACAGATCAATATATCATGCGGGCAGGAACCTTAGACGAGGAGGACCAGGTGGGTTATCAGAGGTTGGTGTCCTTCGTGGCCAGTTTTACCCCGACCAAGCTCGTGACGCCTGATGGGAACTTTATCCTTGACGCCCGAGGGAACGTTCTCCAGCAGGCGATACTCATAAATATGAAGACTCTGCTCGGGTGTTCGTCTGACGAGGAAGCTCT